TTAAACAGACAAGTGGCTGGGCATTGAAAAAAAAACTAGAGATGCACTGATTGTGAAATTCTGGGCAGATACCAATGTTTAAAATAAAAATTAGACTGATAACCAATACCAATACAGATAATTTTGTTAATTTGTTTTCTTTTTGTTGTCATGTATTCCACAAGTCAGTCATACCTATTCACGAGACAACCTTTAATATTCCATTCATTCACATGAAAAACATTTTTTTTAAACTGCTTCAAATATCTTTTTACTATATATAACAAAACATTCTCCCTCAAACAGCTGTATTTATTTAAACATTTTCACCAAAAACTAAATTTTACATGATTACATTTGAACACATCATGATATCATTATGATTTACCTTCACCCAATACTAATTTTTATTACATAAACCTTTAGTGCCTCATAATGTAACTTGGTGCAGCCTCCATTTGCTGTTGATTCCAGTCACTGGCTGCTAACAGCTAATGTTAACTAGCTCTCCTCCTGCCGATTTCAACATGTATTGATTGATAGAGTTTAACGTGTCATTTGGTCCTGAGGGTATCCTGGGGAAGATCTCTGCTTGTCCCAAACACTTTTTCTATTGTCCAAGGGATGAGAGGATGCCGTAACCTTGATCCCCTGAATCTTATTTGCAGATAGGCTGATGGCAGTCAGCAAGGCGGATACTGGCCAGTACTGATGTTCAGCTGTTATATCTGTGCAGTCCTAAAAAAATGTTGACATCAAGTTATTAACATTTATCAAACTGTCCTGCTCAAGGGCCGATTTATTTCATTCTCTCAGCCAGACTAGGAGGGACCATTATGGGTCATTTGCATATAGAAAAATACAGAGATTTTATAGTGACAAATGTAAACAATGGATGTTTTTGAAAAATCTGTCCATTATTATCTATCTTTACCAAATGTTCCTGATGAGGGAAATTCCAGTTTGAACATTTTAAAGAGTGTGTCTTTGATATTTGAACAGTCACATTCAGGTATGTTCAATAGAGACAAATAACTTGTGTCTTTGAAGCTTGTATGTGTCCGTCCAACGGAATATTAGTCAACAGACATGTTTGCAAAGTTCTAAAACCTATATATGATAAACACCTTTAATTATTATTTTGTTAGTCAATAAACTTCCTTCTTGACAAAGGAAGCAAAATAGCCACATGTCAGAGGCACAGAACCTTAAAAACATGCCTCACCGTCATTAGATGAATTGATCAAATATATGTCATTTGTTTACATTACCTTACCTAATGTGTCGCCTTATCTCACAACTCATTTGTATTCAGAGACACTTAAGGATATGCAGGAATATTCTACACTAAAATCAAACCCACTCAGACAGAAGTTAACAGGAGCTCTTATTGGCCAGAGTATAAAAGGACTCTCAAGTATGCTGCTTAATGTGAAATTCACTGCTTCCATGATGTGTCTGAAAATTCACAAAGAATCACTTTGATATAAAAATACATCAAAGTGACAGATGCAGTGCTCAACATGCAGGGGCAGGGTGGATAAATGTGTTCTCTGTACAGGCGAAATTCTCCACATATATCACAAATTTTAAATGCAACTGCATCTATTGCTGCATCTCTGTGATTGTATATACTGTGATAGAACTGGTTATTTTAGTTATTTTGATATAATTACTTATGGTAAGGATATTGTAATCTCAAAGGCCCACTTTTTAGCTATCAGAGCTTTTGGTCGTAAGGCCCTGAAACTGCTAGAGCCACAGACCAAGGGTCTGACTCCAGAGCTGCTGCCAGCTCTCCTCCGGGGAAGCAGTCCAAAGCAGCGGGGAATGAAGGGGAGGGACAGAGGAGTGCTATCTAGTTCTTGTCTCATTTGTGATCTGATAGACAGAGTAGGTAAGGAGGGGTGAGGGAATGCGCTTTGTGCTGCACTACAATAAAATTAAAGAAAAAAGAGTGTATGGGAAACACTGGGTTACTGTATGAGGTGCATGCATATGCCCATGCTCATCAGGTGGGAGGGGCTTAGGACAGAGGCGAGAGCTGCAGGAGGAGGTTGTATTTTCAAATCTTTTTTTGTTTTTGTCTTTTCTAGAAAACTGCCTACCCTAGCTTTAATTTTTAGCCATAGAGACTTTGTAATAGAAATGCTGGTGATATGTACAGTTGGTTTTCTTCGGTTTAAACTGGTTGAAAATAGCCTATGGGGGTCTTTGCCAACCAAACTTGGACTCAAAGTCACAGGGATTCACATTTATCTCGTTCAATAGGCACTTTTAGCAACTTTTCATACTGCTGGTGACAGATTCACCTATATTGGATTAAGTCTTAAAAACAAACTGAAGCACATGAGGAAACACTGCAGAGCTTAGATAAACTGATGACAATTTGACAGTTAAAAATGCAGCCAGATTCGGAGGTTAGGGAGACATCAGTACTCAGAGTCTCGGTTTGCATCTTAAACATTTTCTTGGTATTATTCATAAAACAAAGAGGAAAAACCTGAGCTGCAGGAGAAACATTGCATCAGGCTGTAGAAACTCAGTGCCATACACTCCAGCACCAGTCTTCATAAGGGAATAATGGCTGAATATTAGCCAAAGAAAGCAAGCAATAAACAGGGGCTTTACCTTTTCACTTACATGTCTCTTTTACAGCTGTGTCATGGCTAAATGGCCTGATACAGCAGCACTATCATGTAAAGCACAAAGCATCAAGATAAAATATATGAGACAGACTTATAATGGATTTAATAAAATGTAAAGAGAAGAGTTATTAATTAAACTAAATAATATGTTTAATTTACTATTATTTAAAATGCACTATGTTCAGGTTTAACTAAACAGTGTTAAAGTAAAGAGCAGTGTGTTGGATTAAGTTGAAGATTACTGTGTATGTTATTGAAATGCTAGTGTATAGAGTAAGCTTGTACTGCAGGTTGCACTGTGCCAGTATACCCACTAGATGGTGTTGTTGTCTTATAAATTAGCTTTTAATGAGCCAACTCCTCGAACATCATTCTGTGTCTGTGTGTGAAATTCCTACCTGCCTTTGCCTTCCCATGGAAAAATATGTGTGTATGTGGGTGAAGGAGGTCACATATGTCAGGATGGAGATGCAGCGTTTGTTTTTGCAGAGATCAAACTGTATTTTACCACAGACAGGCCAGGAGAGCAGCTTTCCTTTTGACACAAGTAGGTCAGCTTTTCCCACTGGTTTTAAGTTCAGGGAACCATGCCACACTAACTCTGTAGCGTGAGTGTGAGAGAGGAGCCAGCAGGTTAGAGGGCATCAAGAAATTCTGACATGATTTTTACCCTCCTTTTGAGCACCACACCATCTTAAAATAGAAAATTCAGAATAGAGTCCAGCTTTCAGAACAATGTCTTTGGATGACCAATGCTCAGAAAGTTTTTCCCTACGTCTCAGAAAAAATCAAGAACAGAGCAAAGTCAGTGGTGTTAATGTTGCACACTGATGAACTGAATGTTGATAAAATACAGTTTAGTCTCACCTCGACAACTCCCAACATGTCTTTATTTTATGGAGAAGGGGGATAAAATAACAATACAGTCCTCCCTTTTGTTGCTACTCCTTGCCCTCCTCTACAGGGAGGTCAAAGATCAGCTTATCAATAACAGGCAAATGGCTAGGTCCTTGATTAAGTTTTGTGTTGGTCATGTTTATTCTAGTCTTTCTTCTTATTGTAAGGATAGCCCAAAGCTGGACCCATGGGCCAAAGTAGGCCTGCCGTAAGGTTGGATTTGGCCTGCCAGATGTGTCTTTAAATATGTAGGATCCCTAATTATTATTACTGTTTTCATGATCTGAGCATGGTGGGCAGAGTGACACTTTGCGTGCTGAGTGAGTTAAGAGAAAGCGGCACATGGACAAAATGCATTTCAATTGAGAGAGCTTGGGATCCTAGTACTGTTTTACATCTTAAATGGATTGTTCAGATTCTCTTAAAGTGGGGTTGTACAGGGTACTTATTTGTAGTCAGTAGATGTCGGTCAGAACGCCTGCAGTTTGGAGAAGCAGGCTGGAGTCCAACATAGAAGCTAAGCAATGTAGTGCTGTAGAGGGATCAGCAACAAAATGTATTTTAGCCCCCTAAAAACAAGTCCCACCTTAAAACATCCATTTCAGTTTAAGTATATGCTACACTGAGAGTATTTCCACTGCTGTAGTTTAATGTCAGACAGTAATTTCCAACTAGAAAATAAGCTGTTATATCATGTCACTGAAAGCCAGACTCCATTGAGAAAAACAATAATTTAACATGTGTGAACACAGGAGCTGCCGGCCTACCACTGCTTTGATTAGTACGTTTGTTTGTGTTATTATGTGACTTTGGCATTTGAAAGGGTTGATTCAGATTTACCAAAGTCACACAGCAACACATACAAACTAACTGATTGAAGCAGCAGTAGACCAACAGCTCCTGTTTTCAGCATGCTAAATTATTGTTTTCTAAATAGAGTCTGGTGGCCTTGTATAAGCATGAAAGCAGCATCTAACTCTCTGCAAGAAAGCAAATAAGTATATTTCCCAAATTTGTCAAACATGCAGCACAGTTTTCCAGATTATTTACTACTCATTTATACTTCCAAGTGCATATTTTCACGAAAAAAGGCTGTATTAAACCACGCATCATGTACAGGATCAATATTTTTGATTCACTTCAATAGTACAACAGCACTTGAACAAAATTTCCCACATTATCGCCTGGGCAAATAATTCACAGGGTCCATGGAATGGAAACATTTGTTCCGAACTGGTCTCTAAATGTAGGATTCAGACTGTATAACGGGCCATTGTGCTCCTTTATGTCTCTCTGTTGAGATGTGGTAACACTTCCTGTGGAGGCAGTGAAATACAGATGGCTGCTGCTGCTTCAACTCTCCATTCAGCTTTTACAAACCATTTGAAAGGAAGACAACAAAAGTTGATAAAGGTTTGGCCATTGTACTAACTTTCCTCTCTTGTCCCTCCCGTGTCCTCCTGTCCTTCCTGTCAGGCTGCCATAGAGAAGTTGACCTGGAAAGACCGTCTCCCTGGATACTTCATCAATGTTTCCTCTATCCTCTTTATGGTTAGTACATAAAAATCAGGTTAATGCTGTACTTAGGATCATACATTTGTCAGTATATATGGATGACAGCACTTAAAATAGATTAATAAACACGTGTATGATAAGCTAATGTACATAAGTGAGTATATGACTGACCTACATCGATGTGACCTTTGAAATATTAATTCAGTCTCTGCTCTGTGAGTATCAGACAAATATGGTCAAGTAATAACTTATTTATTTTCTTTCTTTTCCTCCTCTCTGCTCCCAGTTTGGCTTGACGTTCTCAGCAGTCTTTGGTGTCATTATCTACCGCATCACAGTGTCAGCCCTGATGGCGATGAGTCCTGACCCAGAGACCAAGTCTAATGTTCGAGTGACAGTGACGGCCACTGCGGTCATCATCAACCTGGTGGTCATTCTGATCCTTGATGAAATCTACGGCGCTGTGGCATTGTGGCTGACTGAGCTAGGTACAGAAGAATATACAGTTTTATGCTCTCATTTAGTTATGCTGTCTCAGCTATTAAACTAAACAGAAATATAAACACAGCACTTTTGTCTTTGCTCCCATTAATCACAGGTTTAAGTTAAAGATCTGAGACTTTTTAAGGCACTGAATGGATATATTTCTCACAAAGTTTGGTCACAGATTGGTTAGAATTAGCATTAGTGAGCACTTTTCTTTTCCAAGTTAATTCATCCAAGTTTTGCTCCGTATAAATAAATAGTGAGACATTTTTTGAGACAGCGATGGTTAGCTTAGCTTAGCCCGACAACTGGGAACAGGAGGGAGTCGTTAGCGCTGCTCCGTCTAACGATAAAAATGACATAATGACCCATCAAACCACAACTTGTTTTGTACACAATATCCAAACAAGATATATTACGTTGATTAGTGAAACTTGGACGTGAATATTTTCATTCCTTTGGATAGTGCAAGGCTAACTGTTTCCCCCTGCTTTCGGTCTTTGTGCTAAGCTAAGCTAACCATGTCTCCAGGCTCTATCTTAATATTTACTTGAAAGATTTGAGAGTGGTGTCGATCTTCTCATAAAGCTTAACCTTCAGCAAGACAGCGTGTAAGGTATTTTATAAAATGTCAGACTTTTCCCTTTAACCTAACCTTACCTTAAAAACACCACCAATGAAGCCTCTTGAAAATAAGCTAGTCCAGGTGACAATTCTTTCCTCTCGTAGGGCAAAAAAAAGGCTGCAGTGGATATGCTTCACTTTCATTTTGCCCCCTTAAAAATAAACCATATTGCCATCAGCAATGATGATTCTTCGTCAATGCTAATGGGAATCCGTCATTGGAGTTTTTTACATCCGTGATGACAAGTTTCAAAAATGAGACCAAGATACTATAAATAATGAGAATACTCCCCCGGCACCTTGCTAAACAAAGTCAGCATTTTACATGTAGTCATCATCTGTGTGTGTGTGTGTGTGTGTGTGTGTGTGTGAGAGAGAGAGAGAGAGAGAGAGAGAGAGAGAGAGAGAGAAACAGAAAGAGTTTTTCTGGCTCTTGGTGGACAGTTTGATGAAACTTTGATGTTTTCATGCTCCAGTCATCCCATCAGTCATCCCAGGAGGTTTCAACCACATTTACATTCATATTCAAAACCTCTGAAATAGAGGAAGAAAAGAATGGGAAGCAGAAGTGTGAGAACGAGGGAGAGTGTATCTGTGTGTGTGTGTGTGTGTGTGTGTGTGTGTGTGTGTGTGAGAATATGCCATGTGAAAAGTGCTAGTATTTTAACCTACTTCCACCACAGTGATCATGTTATGACTCAAATTCAAGAGTCAAACTGACAGAATCACCGCTTCACCATTAACTGAAAAAAAAACCACACTGTAGAAAATCCTCAGCATCTCTTTAAAGAAATAATGATAGCCAAACCTTGTGTCTCAAAAACTCCCCTTCATTTGTCGTTCTTTCCATCCCCCTTGCTGTCCTCACAAAACAACACCATGTCAAGTCTCTCTGACAGTTTCACTGTACCTGTTTTTCAGAGATTCCTAAAACAGAAACCAACTTTGAGGAACGCCTCATCCTCAAAGCCTTCCTGCTCAAGTTTATGAACGCATACGCACCCATCTTTTACGTGGCTTTCTTCAAGGGACGGTAAGTCCTGCATTCGTGTGTGTAGGAGTACATTCGTGCAACGTTATCCTGTGAAAACCATGTATCTCCAAAGCATCAGTTTTCCTAACCCAACAGCCACAGCAAATGTTGGCAATGTACATTTCTACAAACTCAGGATACATTACATTTCTACGTTATTATGTAGTGGATACATTGAATTTTTATGTTTCAACAATGCTGTGGTTATGTTCAGGCACAAAAACGTAATGTAATGTTTGGAAAGATCATATTTAGACTTTTTGGACAATTTTGGTGCACATTCACGGTTGGAGAAGCCTTCAACGTCTCGGTAAAAGATAACTGCTTTTCATGGTACTATCCCTGGTAGAAACACCTTGGCAGTGGTCTCGCCTAGGTATCACACCATCCGCTATCCCGTCTACCTCGTGATGGCAAAGTCAGCTCATATACTACATCACTTCAGAAATGCTGATTTGATACATATGAAACTTACAAATGTGACATATTTGTGGTTTGCAGAAACATACAACGCAAAACTTTTTTTTTTTGTGGTGACTGGGCTGGTTTTCCATGTGCTTGTTTTGAGCTTTGTGACAATGCATTTTTCAGCTGTCTAAATGGGGTTATCCAGCTGAATAAGGAGAATATTCTCCAACCATAAAAGAACATTTATTCCCTTTGTTTGTGTAAAAAAATTGGAATCTCCATATTTGGAGATGCATGGTTTTCTGTGGGCAGCGATGACATGCTTTAACATGCCTGCTGGATTACACTGGATGCTATAACACAAATACATCCATTTCAGAAATAAAAACACATTGCTAACGGGTAAATCCAAATGAAGCTCCTCAGTCGTTGTTGTGTGTTTTCACAGGTTTGCTGGTCGACCTGGAAATTACGTGTACGTCTTCAATGATTATCGGATGGAGGAGGTTTGTGTCTTTCTTTGTATCAGTGCTTTTTTTCATTTGGCTGAGTAACTGAAACATAAAGTGACAATGAATAAGTGTACAAATGAAGTGTGTGTGTCCCTCAGTGTGCACCAGGAGGCTGCCTCATTGAGCTGTGCATTCAGCTCAGCATCATCATGCTGGGGAAGCAGCTGATCCAGAACAACATCTTTGAGATCGGCATCCCGTAAGTAGACCACACTCCTTTTTTGCATTTGCTAACTTATTATGATGTTTTTAAGATCTGGAGATGCTGAATGCACAAGAGCAAGTAAACAAAAGTGGGATACTCTGTCTGATCTCTCATTGTCTGACACCTAAACACACATACAGATGCTTACTCAGAAGCGTCCCTCTTTCCTTTTTTGTTACTATTAACATTCTTCCTGTGTCTGTACAGTGGTGCTTCATCTTGTGTAACAGCTCAGCTCAGGGGTCAGAGGTCGGCTCTGTTTATAATTACTGTCACACACCAGAGGAGCCTTTTGGCTTCAGGCTGCACTGTTACTGTTGCTGTAAGCACAGCTTGACCTCCGGTACTGTCAGGCGAGTCTCATCAAACACTGGTTTCTCCAGGACGTCCTGAGGGATCAGCGAGCCACGGCACAAACCATGATACCATCTACATACCATCTACTCATCTGCTTTACATTCATCCACTTAAAAGCTTTGGAACCTGGGAGACGACCAGTTAAACCACGGTCTCATACTGTGGGCCAGTGTGAGGTTTTATGGAGAATGTCTGAGCGGTTGAGTGAAGCCAGTACATTAGAGGTTTTCACAGGTTTAAAAAATTATACCTGACCCTAAAAGCTCCCGTCTAAAGATGTGAGAGATAGACAGATAGATAGTAGGAGCCCACATCCTCCCAAAGAGGACTCAGGTCTATGGAGACTTCATAGTCACGTCATTCTGAGCTCCCACCCATGAGACCAAAACAAGTGTCTGCCCACAAGAGTCATGGCCTGTTGAATAATAAAAGAAGGGTGTGTTTTTTCTGCATTTGGAGGAGCCCGGGACAGTCTTGTTGACTCATTGTGACATATTTAGGTTTGAAATGTTCCAGAACTTGCCTGAGAGTTGTCCCAATTTTAAGTTTTCCTCAGTATCACAGTAGTACAGTGATAGGTGTCTGTATATCCATGTTTACATTGCAAACAAGAACTGCTAATAACTAATTTGGCATACTTTATATGATTTGAATTTGCAGTGTTGTAGAGGCTACTTTGAAACCATAGTTTTGCAAGCTGCCAATCACTTCAGACTGGGAGAAGAAACTACAGTACAGCTACCCTGGAAGGAAATTTAGTTTGGTTAACTAAAGCTACTTAGAAAAAGTAGTTTGAACTACTATGTTGAAAATATTCATTTTAACAATTTACATGTGATACAAAATTACAACAAAATATTAGGGCTGTAATCAACTGAAGAAAATCTTTCCCGTCACAGGGCTTGAGGTGAAGTCTGTGTTCAGGCAAGTGGAATACTTTGAGTGAAATATAAATGTGATCTCCAGTGTAATATATCTGAAAATAAACTGCACACTATAACGCTTTTCCAGCTGAGCTGTGTGCAATTGGCCGTCTCGCCACAGATTGTTCAACAGGACCGATGAGAAAAATCAGACATAAAAGACATTGGTGTGATCCTCTTCCTTTCAGAAGCTTTATCATCCAGTCTTGAACTGCAGTGTCTTTTTGGAGACTTAATTAATATGATTAAAATCAATCCATAATGATAAATCCCACACTGAATGTCCTTTGTGATTATTTATCTGTTTTCCAATTGAAAATTAGTTTAAAAATGTTTAATGCACTGGGCTTGTCACTGTCAGCAGCCATTCAATCCCAATGGAGAAGGGGTGGGACAAATACCACAAAGACCAATGGTCACAGGGGACAAATACAAGTACTCAACAACAAGAACTGCCATTTCCAGCTGGTTAAAGAAATGCTCTGATGGACACATGGCCTTAGTAACACCAGTGATTGTCCAACCAATGAGAATTTGGTCAGACAAGAACATGTCGACTAACCAATCGACCAACTGACCACAATGTGACAGCCCCACAAAATATAGTACAAAAAAGTCACAGGGCAGCAAAAATACGGCTCAACTGAGTTTATTGCAAAAATGCCCACTTGTTCACAGGTCTTACATAAACAAATGTGCAAGGAATGTCAGGTGTAGTTTTGTACACAGTGTCCGTCAGAAACATAAGTCCAGGTGGAATTATTGCACCAAGCAGGGTTTCTCAGTCAGCCAGGTAAAATAGCATGCAACAACTTATCTTAACATTTGTTAATGAATACAATTAATACTAATTCATAATCAATACTTATGACTAATTGAGGTCAAAGGGAGTTTAATTAAAGTAAAGAAAGAATGGGTAAATAGAATTTAGAATCCATGCCTTTCCTTTTATGATCCTAAGTTGTTTGTAGTTCAAAGTTAACTACACAAAAAAGGCCAAAAAATAAAGTACTATGCAAATACGAATGAAGCTGAACTACCAGCAAACTATTGCAAAATGTAGTTTTTGTATACTACCACTTTAGCTACCCTAGTTCACTACTCCGCAACACTGCCGATTTGCCAAAAATATGAACAAATATAGGCTAAAAAACAACAAGCTGTAGCACACAGCGCACCTCAGTTTCAGAATATGGGGTGGGCATTGTCAACACGTTAAGTGTCTCTTTTTTTTTTGAGGGAGTTCAGTCAGACGTTGAAAACCTTTGGTATATCACATACAGTGTAACAGGAAAAATACACCACTTGGTTTTGTGTACTTTACCTGTCCAAATTAAAGACATACCTAATAAAAGCCAAAATTCTTCCAAAAATATATATTTTTGTCATTTAAAATTAAGCTGCATTAAGTCATTTCCACCACTAGAGGGCAGAAAATACATAACAGATCCACAAAAACACTACACCGAAAGACTGCCCACAATTTATGTATCCTCAACATAGTAGTTATGATTTACCTGTTGAACAATTGCCTGCCTACACATAGAGCAGACACCTGCTGCTACAGTATCATCTTAGGGGTCATGTTTCTGGCATCTGATGAATATATACATTTTTGTATTTAACACACAAATATATTCAATGATTGAATTTTATTTCAGTGAAAGGTACTATATCAAATAAATTCATTATTTATTATTAATACATTGTAAGTGCAGTATTGATGGTCCTTTGCAAACCCAAACTCCTGAATAAATATCTCAGCCTTTAGCTTCTCTACCAGCGACCCCATTCACAAGAAAAATTGCGAAATGCAGGTTGAATTAATGTTTTTATATTAACTGGCACATTACCCAGTAAAACTTCTGGTTACATTTTTGAGGGATGACTTGAATTTTTCACAGCATAAATGTCTTGGTAGTAAAACAATGTTATTGCTACAGAAAGAGAAAAAAGGAACACCGGGCGGAGGAGGTGGGAACATACATGAAACGTGCAGATGGAGTAAGAGAGTCCTGACCTACATCAGAAACCTCTAATCTCTTTTTAGGCCAGCAGCAGCAACATGACTGTGTGTGCAGTGTGTGTGTGTCCTCAAACTGTAAGCGTGTGTGTATGAGCGTGGACACGTGTGTCTGCATGTACTTTATGTGAATATGTGAATGTTTAAAGGAAAGTTACATTTATACTTCCACCGCCTCCTCGAAATGTGCCGTACAAACTCCCCTGTGCGGTGTGTGTGTGTGTGTGTGTGTGTGTGTGTGTGTGTGTGTGTGTGTGTGTGATTACCACTTAAATAATGCAGTCATGCATGTAGCTGCTTTAATCAGTAAGAGTTTTTATTAAAGCAGTACACAGTTATATGCATATACAACCAAATGTACACATATTGCACACATCAGTGTCGTCCTACATGCATCATTTTACATGTTCATATATACAGTGCATATGGACAAATACTGTACACACACACTTATTTCCAGTTGGACTTATTTCCACTGGGCCATGTACTTACAGAAAGACACGCGTAAAACTCTTGTGTACCTGGTTCTCTCTGTGCTCTCCCGCTGCGTTTCCCAGCAGCAGTTTGTTTGCATCACACAGCTTCAGTTTTCAGTTGAACGCCAGTCTGCTGGCCGCTCTCTTCAGCGACCACTTTTCTTAGAAAACAGTCAGCTTCTGGCTGTGAGTCCAGTTGGCTTGCAATAAAATGTTTAGCATTACCAGTGTAAATACCTGCTTGTGTGTTATGTTTTAGAAGCAGAAACCCCGTCCGCCTCTTTTGTTCCAGGGAAAGTTTACTGAGTACACATCCAACACGTGAACACCACCCTGCTTCACATTCATAAATTATAAACACTGCAGGCCCTGTGCCTTGTAAAGTAAATACAGGTAGTTTATTTGTTCAAGAGACATATTTGTTTTTCATATGAATCAGGATTTGAAATCTAATCTTCCAGCTGCAGAAAATGTGCCAAGTGCAGCTTTTAGCTTAGAGAAATACCAGATTCAGTGAAACGATACAATTTAACTTACCTTAAACAAGCAAGACAGTTTCTGTACATCCATGTGTGATATCAAGTAATAAGTTCTGTTCAAGCAACTTTCAATCCCTGTCTGCAATTACATAACTGTCTCACTGCACTAATCTAACCACATTTTAAATCTGGTTATTCACAGTTTTTATTTGATGTACATTTCTTTACTTTAGATAGGACTTACTGTACACTGAGTACGTGTACACACACAATACAGAATTATTAAGTCTTAACCTTGACTCTTTCCTCTCCTCACCTTCTCCTCCACCTCTCCCTCCATTCCAACAGGAAGTTGAAGAAGCTGGTGCGTGCGATAAAGGATAAAGCACCAACGGAGAAGGAGCTGGAGGAGGAGAGGCCTCCACAGCAGTGGAACTTGGACTACGCCCTGGCTCCCTTTGAAGGCCTCACGCCCGAATACATGGAGATGAGTGAGTCTGCACACACACACAGAGAAAAAAAATAACTTCATCAGTAAAGAATAGCCATTGAGTCAACATACTTTTAAAACAAGTACTCAAATGATATAACATCTCTCACGGCACTGAGAGGCGTTTTATCATCTGTATGTGCGAGGACCTTCTCAGGTAAAAGCAAGCCGACTGCCAAAGAAAATGTTGGCGCTGTACGTGTCTGCTAATCATGGATATGTTACATTTGTACAGTATTATGTAGTAGACATGCAGAGACTTGTCTTTACGTTTTCGTAACACTGCAGTTAACGTGTGATTTTCTTAAGTCTCAAAAATCACGTGGTTATGGTTATGTTTTGGCTAAATACACCCAGTTTTGGCGGCACAGTCGTAGCTCGAAATGCCGCCAATGTCTTATTGGCTTTTGGTGGCACACTCAGCACTGAAGTTGCTCCCAGTGTTTCACTAAAAAACACCTGGTTTTAGTGGCACAATTGCTGCTGGAACTACTACCAATTTTTTTTGCTAAATACACCCAGTTTTGGTGGCACAGTCACAACATGAATTGCTGCTGATTTCAGTCTGAAAAACAGCCAGTCTGGGCGAAATGCTGCCAGTGTCTCGCTAAAAAGAGCCTGGTCTCACTCCGAAGTTGTCGAAGTCCAGCACTTGGGCAGTGACTTGCGGCGTCAACGAAAAAGGCGTCCTTTCACGTCAGTATGATACGCGGCTGGTCGCTGTTAAAGTTTAATGGCGCCCGGCAGTGTCAGGGGAAAATGCGGCGGGACAAGCACAAATGCTAAGGCGGTGAATGTCTGTGTGGGGAGGGCGGGAGGGGTAGTAGATCGAACAAACACCGACTTTCACCCGAGAGAGCAGTTTTCATGTCCTGTAAGATTCTAAAGCCAAACCGTGTTCTTTTTTCCTAAACCGAACCACGTGATTTTGTTGCGTAAACCCATGTGTGTTGTTGAAGGGAAAAAAATGTCAGTGTCATTTATTTTGAAAGAGACTATGTAAACGTTATATCTCCTGTGAAAACGGAAGTGTATCTTGAAAGAAGAGAACTTGACACGATGTCCCAGAATGTCAAGAACCGACTCACCCAGGGTACCTTGCACATCATATGTGGACGTGGAAAGTTCATGAATAAGCACGTCAATATGTGCGAGGTCAGGGTGAGAATGTTTTGCTAAAAAACACCCAGTTTTGGGTTTCTAACAGTACTCTGCAGCTTGGCAACCTTCTTGCCTAGGTGTTACGTCATCCACCATCCCCTCCAGCTCCTGATAACAATATTAGTTCTAACACACGTAATCACAACTGTGTCATTTTAGAAATGTTGCTATGATACATATGAAATGTACAGTTGTAACATATCCAAGGTTTATGGAAACTTACAATGCCAACATTTTTTTTCTGGTGGCTGGGTGGATAAAAGGGCACACCTGGTATGAGGAGCATATTGATGATATTTGCATGTTGTTCACACACACTCATCAAGACCATGCTTGTTAACAGCATTTGTCAGATGTTGAAATACCTTATGTTGACCTGACAAAAACCTTTACAGGAGACATGAGTCATGACTCTTTTAGGTCACAACAAAAAACGCACTTTGTGATTTAGTTTGTACTTGTTGCATTCATCCACCTGCAAAAGGGCACACACACATTGTATCCATGTCCATCACAAACCAAAGCACATAAACACTGGAGATTAAAAATTTTCCTCTCTCAGGCAGAATCAATCTCAGCTGTGTATTTAAATCAACATGTTTAATGTTTAAAGCCAGCAGGTAATTAGCAAGTGACACATTATTTTGAATGGCTTTCACTTTCATTCATAGCCCTTGTCTTTGCAGTGCTTTGGTCCAAATGCCAGAATTGGATTTGCCTTCACTTTTTCAGGCACTTTTCTAGTTATTCAAATAGAAAAGGAAAATGCGCCTTTGTTGTTTCTGAGCTGTCTGAATTTAATAGGAAATGACATCATGTTTATACAGTACAGGCCTGTCACCAGCTGTCGGGTGTTTGCAAATGGTCAGGAGGAGCATGCCATCATGTTGGGAGGCTAAGAAGGGGCTGACAAAACAGCTTTCCAGTATAATGTCTTCAGACAGGCTTCTGTAGATTTATGGGAGTCTACAGGAGTAAGAAGAGAACCACACATGCTGCAGTGTGGGCTCTTAAAGATATGTAATCTAATTTAATCAATGCAGGGTTCCAGTCATTTAATTTCAAGAGGTCCTATTACATATTTAACAAATTGTAACACAACGTCCAACTTAGTTTAAACACATTTGTTGCATTACATGGCTTCAGTCATGGAAAACCCCTAAATTTTTACATTAGTGAAAATAGACCCACTGTGGAAAACTGGCAGTGACACAGCCTGCAACCACGAGTCTGTCTTTACTGTTGTTGGCACAAATAAAACATGGTCGGGGAAAAAAAACTGTTAACCAAACGTTATGCTGAGGCTCATTAAATTTCACCCTGACAAAGAGTGGCAGGCAGAGAAAAAAGTATAACTTAATAACAAAAATGAGATGAAATGAGATGGAGGAAAATGTATTACAATGACATGAAAATAAAATTAACATTATTCATGGTTTCCCTTAATTTTCCTGGACAGTGTGTCAGTCTGCTAAACATCATTAAGGTCATTCCCAGGTTAAGTAGTTTAAAGGAGGGACAGTTATGTGCCAGTAAAAGTTGACTGATTTACTGGAGGAGGGAAAAGTTACTATATGGAGCTGGCCACAGGTGTTAGGTTGTTATGTCTGAAGGTACACACACCTACACTCACACAGTTACAGTCATCCCTATTTTACCCTTACTACCAGCAACAGTCCTAACAAACCAACACCTGCGTAGCCGTAACTTTTCATAATGGAAAATAAGATTAAAGCAGCTGTGCGGAACTTTTTACCATTAATAAAACTGCCCCTAGTTCGTATCACCCCCCCTTGAAGATCCGCATATTTATTTGAACCCAACAGCGACAAAAAAGCCTTTCTCTATATGGCTATTTAGCGTAGCCTCACTCGGGTCGGACCGACAGCGGAAGTCAGCAAACTAGAATACGGCACCTGAGGCGGAAGTGATTATGCTCGCCCGCATCGCCCGCAGCGCCCGCAGCGATTAAACCACAGAAGAAGGAGCCGTGTTTACAGTGTTCTTCGAGTAAGCAGTACACAACGGGCATTGCTGAACACATAACACCTAACAGTTTTACCAGACCTTGGTTGTACTTTTGATGTCATGGCAAATAACGAAGGAGCATCATGTAAAATTATCTGTGACTGTGACCATGAACACAAATATACAGCAGGCAGTTGTCCTCAGTTTATAAGAATTTCAGAGTTACACCAGAACATTTATGAACAGGTCTTACTTTACTACTAATTTGTGTGTAACGTTAGCATGTTAGCATGTTTCCACTAATTACTTGGACTGACCTAACGTTAGTAGCGTTAGCTTTGCAAGCGAAGGCTGCAGGTAACAGCTTTGCTGTGTTAGGATTATGTTATGTCTTCACTGTGTATCTTCACATAAAAGAATACTCCGACCATATGGGAGTTATGCCCTTTCTCTATCATTTTCATACTGAGACAACATGATCGATATCTTTTTTGTGTCTGTACGTCCAGTGGCTGGGTCTCAGCGGTTAGCATTGCGCTTATAGGGGGTCAGTACGTCCTACACCAGTGAGCAGGCACAGACGTAGCTTGTAAACAAAACTCAGCTGTTTATTTAGCCTAGCAATATCTCCGGACTACAGTAGCTGCAATGGACGACTTTGAACGTGATTTTGAAGAGTTTCTTGTAGCGGACACAGATCCAGAGCCATACCTGTTTGAGCTGGACTACACAGATGAGGAACTCCATGTGTTGCATGCTGAGCAGGTGAGAAGAAAGGCTGAATCCTCCGCTCCCTCGGTGCTACCATCGTTGGGGAGATATATCATCAGGAGGAAAACCGCTGCAGAGAGTGCATCACAAGGATGAAAACTTTGCAGCAATCACTATCCTGGCGTGATTGAAACTTTTTTTCATGTTCCTAAGATGAACTGGAAAAAAAAAGCCCCAGGCCTACAGGAGCTGATGGACAGCTTTCACTCGGGTGAGTAATATCGTCCATGTCGTCTCTTTGTTTGCTTTTACCGAGTAACCTAGCGTACCTGTTCCAGAGCAAGCTGCAGCTGTTGCTCACCGGTGTATCCCTCCGCGCAAGATGTACTGACCCCCTACAAGTGCCATGCTAACCACTGTCTCAATATGAAAATGATAGAGAAAGGGCATAACTCCCAAATCGTCAGAGTATTCTTTTCACATAATAATGCGGACTCAGCAGATGACTTGTTAACTGTTTATTCCTCCTTACACCGAACATACACGGCAGAATAACTTGAGGCTCACACTACTACGGTAGCTTTAGTAGCTCAAAATACACAACAGATTAGATTAGATCAGAACAGAAACACGACAGGAGAATTTACTGAGTAAATTTGCTGTTTCCATTAATTACTTGGACTGACCTGACGTTAGTTAATCCTCTCGCTCTCCAAAACAAATGCATGCGGTAATTGCCGGCTGCTGTCGGAATTTTACGACACCAGGCTGTGGGTGTCATACCACTCCGACCAAAGGGGCGCTATAATCAACGAAAACGAAAAGTTCTGCACAGCTGCTTTAAAAAACCCTTAAATGTAAGTGTTTTGGGTAAATTTGTAATCAGACATTTGCAGATGACAGTCGGCAGGTCATAAAAGTTATTGAAGCTACAGTAGACAACTTTTATAAATTATAACTAACTGTTACATTTATGGAAATTGTCACTATATTCTGACAGCGGTAAGTGAGGAAGATAAGATATGAAAATATCAGGCTCCTCCTCCTCTTAGTGCTCCTAATGGCATTCACAAGAAAACTCCGCACCTGAACAAAAACAACCAATCAGAGAAAGAAGGAGTCTTCAACTGCTCGTGCACATGCTGGGCTGCCAACAACAGC